CCCCAAAACCCCAAAACCCCAAAACCCCAAAACCCCAAAACCCCGGACATTACTCAGGAGGTTGAGGTTTTTTAGGTATAAATTTAATAAGAAATATGAACTGTGGAGGAAGAGGGATTTGGAATTTTATAAGTGGAAATCAAAGCAAGATAGGTAGAATTACTATGGGAATATAAGCTTCTTCATGGGGTTGGATAGGGGGAGTTAAGAGGAGAGTTCAACGACTGAGCGGATGGTGAAGAAGTCTCAGGAGGGGGAGAGCAGCAGGATTTCTATTCCTCTCATGATGTTCTCCATAATTTTTGATCATTCTTTTACTTTTAAATCAAATAAGTCTTCTGATTTCTCTAAAAACTTTTTATCTTCTTTATCTAATTGATCTCCTATTCAGTGAACTCTGAATTACCAGATGTCATGTACATTCATGCGTTGAGTAGCAAATATCGCTTGCCTAATTTACCTATAAAAAATAAATTTAGCTCGTTATCTTAATTCTGAACTTTATAAAACCTACATTTTCACTCTTGCACTGGTTTAGAACTTTGGCTCCTTACTTTTACTCATCTTCAGGAGCTTTTGCTGATAAGATTATTCGATTCGACTCCATATCCATTTACTAATTTGATCATGAAATCTCTTGATAAGAGAGTAATAGATTTAAAATTCTTTCCTCAATATGATGCGAGAAAGTTCTCTATCATGGTGTCATCTCAGCTGTCTATCTAAAGAGCTAGGTAAGTCAAGAATTTAAAATAATTTTTTGGTTGTTTATTGTATTTGACCTTTATTAAAAGAAGAAATTTTTAAGACGGAAGAACTTTGTCAGAAGTATGCAATCTTTCAGACTTTTCTACTGATAACTCCTTTGCTCTCTAGACTTGCCATATACTAATATTGGCTTTCCCTGTTTCAATAACGACTACACCAAGGTTTTTAAAACTGCTTTTATGCCTAATTATTTTCTTTGATAAGAGCTTCACTACTTCCAAATACTTTCATAAAATCAACTCTAAACGATACATCAAGTGCTAAGTATCGTACATCTATCAAGAATGAGCATCCACGTAATAGTCCTACTAGTTGCACATGACAAAGCAGAAAACTTCCTCATCAATTCTTGATTTTCTAAATTTCACTCTTCGCCTCACGGTCATAATTTGAAAGGGAAGTAGTAATGGTTCATAAACTTTATTCGACTAATTTATGAACATTTAGGAGAAACTCATAAAGTACCTGCTTCTGGAGGTCCAACTCATGGATATAGTTAATATCAACCTTATAGTTGATTGATTCTCTAAGGCCCTTGAAGTTTATCCTTTGGAGGTTGAACACTTTCTGCTCTCTTTGAAAGTAAGAAATGCTCAATTGGGATTGCTCTTCTCTAAAAATAGTATTTTTAAAGCATTTCCATGAAATTTGAATTGGCAAAAGAGTATTCAGTAGATGGGTTTTAAGGAAGAAGCATAGGTATGGTACCAAGACTAATTAGGGGATTAAAAGCCTTTGAAGAAGTAGCCAAGATCTTACTGTTTTAAACTTTCAATAGTCTTGTCTTGTTCTCGCTTATCAGTGATTCCTCTAGTAGATAAATCATATTTTGAGAAATTATCTATCATTTTGTTGTCCATCAAATGATTTGAGTATGTCATAATATCCCTATAAGCAAGAATTAATAAAAAGATAGAGAAAGCTTGGTCATGAAATATCAAGATTTCCAAGTTTCTCAGCAATGAATATAAATATCAAGAGAAATTCTCGTCAATATGTCTTACACAAGGTCAAGTTCTTCATGGTGATAACTTAAGATGCATGCTAAGAGGGGAGGAGTGTCCTTGGATCATCAGCTTTGTAAATCGGGGGGTACCTATGAGGATTATGTGTTATGGTATGGGATATTTTTGGGTTTACTAACATGAAATATTGTGTAAGAAATTCTTGGGAATTGTTAGTTGAAATTAAGTGACTTTTATATTCAGAATCTTCAAAGATTTTGAACATGTAGACCATATATTGCATTTTAAATAAACTAATGGCTTTAGAATTGTTAAGAAAGTCTCAAGATTCAAAATTATTCAAATCAAATGTTTGAACTAACCATCAAAAAAGATTTATCAAATTTGAATTTTCTTTTACCCTGTTAACGAACTGAAATGCACTTATGAGACAAACTAATGAAGTATAAAGCCTGGAGAGGTCTTATGATCCTCAAGAAAGTCCTAAATACATATTCCGCCTTCTTAATCTTCAGTATCTATGTTGTTCTTCTTTATGAATTTCTGAATTAATAGGCTAAGACATATGCTGACAAATAAGTTTGTATTGTTAATTAGTAAATTTATTTTAATTCCTCATGATTTTAAAGAATATTCGATAAAACTGTCTATGCCAATAAAGTATTACATGCATTATTAAGATTTTCATGTAAATATTGATTAAAATGACTATTTCTTCATTAAAACCCTATAGTTACATTATCAACCCTTTCAAAATTTCCATGAAAATTATGAACTAATCTTCAAAACAAATCAATCCTCATTTGTTTATATGATATTTTATACCTCCTCACATTCAAACGAATTACTATCCATAAGAACAAGCATCAATTAAGCTCTTAATCTTCCAGTCTCCTTTCTCCTTCTTAACGCCCTAATTAGCTTACTCCCAATTTTACTAAACTCCCTCTATACCACTCTTTTCCCAAAAGTCCACTTCTTGAGTCCTAAATGTTCTTCATAACTACACAGACTGTCTTCTTCTTACCTACTACTCTATCTGCTTCTTAAACCTCATTTTTTAGCATTACCTTGCTTCTAATCTTTCTTATGAAATTATCTAATTTTCATAATGTTTCTTTTCAAAATTACTGACTTCTGCTTGAGAATTTATTCACGATATGAAAATTTTTGGAGAAAAGGGATATAAGGACTCTAGAAAGAGGAGAGGGTAATAGACTCACAGCAGAGGCACTGGATACAGAGAAGTTTCGAAGACACTGGCAAGAAGACAAGACTGCTTATTCAAAAGCAGAGACACTCCAAGGTGGCATAGAGATTAAAATACTCGACTGGCAGAGAATGAGAAAACAGACTCATGTGGGCTTAAAAAGTAACAAGACCTGTAGACTTTATAAAATGTATTTGTACCTTTAGTTGAGCCATCATACTTCACGGCTGAGAAGACTCCATCTTTCTCATATATATAATAATTTTCAAATTTGGTATATTCATCCGGGGTTTTGGGGTTTTGGGGTTTTGGGGTTTTGGGG